GTTTTCTATTACAGTATTTGTACATGTCTGTGATTATATCATATTGTCAAATGAACTTTTGTCCATTTGAATAAATCTGAATGATGCATTCCATGCAGACTGCATTCATCTGGAGGTCAAAAAGTGTGTTTATGTTTTAGACATATAAAGAATGGCTTGTGGCTTCAAGTTTTTGGTTTATCTTTCATAATCAAAGACTCCAGGACATGATGAAAATTCCAGAAATATGAGCATTTTTATAATTTTGTAGGGTGCCACAAGTTTGTTCAAATTTCCAAAGGGTGCCGCGACTAAAAAAAGGTTGGGAAACACTGCCCTAGAATCCCAAATTACTCTGGTGGCTGTAGAAACAGACCCACGCTGGTTCGTCTTAAATGTGGTATTTGAAGGAAATTGCTGAGGGTCTCTTAAAACACCACAGGATTGTGGGGTGAGTCTCGTGATATTGCTTCAGAACTCTGACTTTCTCGCACCTTTTGGAATATTGTCTTTTGAAAAAGCACAAATGCTTCTTAAAGTAGCAACAATGTGAAATGATCTGTCTAGGGCGTGTTTTTGCTTGTTTTCTTGAAAATTCACAGATGACTTTGAGAATAATTTTACATGGATCTTTGAACAAAACGCACCCTTCTAATTCTTCAGTTCAGGTTCATTTTGCTTGTAGCGTTTGTTAAAACAAGCACTGCTATTATGTACTTAACAGTTCTAAACTTCTAACCTAAGTAATAAACTTCAGCACATTACTTATCCTGTGCCATTAATGCTTTGAGATGGGTAACGTATGGAAGACTGTTTCTGCATCTGAGTAGAAGAAATAAAAAGGTAATTGCAACTTTATATCTAACAATTTCAGCTTTATTCGTATCTCACAATCTGATACTATATCTCGAAATGTGAGATAACTGCAACTGTGACTTAAAGGGATAGTTCACCCAAAAATTAAAATTGTCTTTAATTACTCACCCTCATGTTGTTCCAAACCCGTAAGACCTTCGTTCATTTTCGGAACACAAATTAAGATATTTTTGATGGAATCTGAGAGCTCTCTGACCCTCCCATAGCAAGGACATCGGTAAAATAATCCATGTGACATCGGGTTCAACCATAATTTTACGAAACTACGAGAATACTTTTTGAGTGCAAAAGAAAAAAAAAAAGACTTTATTCAACAATTCGTCTCCTCTGCGTCACCCTAGCGCCATTTTGGAGAGTATCCACTGAACGTAAATTGCGAAGCATTTTTAGAAACCGAATGTAGCGCAGCTAGTAGGGTATCAATTCCCGTTCCCATTGAAGACAGCCAAAGTCGTACAGCGGATTATGTGAAGACACAATCTAAAGTTAGTAGTGGTACGCTGCCCTCTAGTGGAGGTAAGGAAATGCAACCATCGCTTCAAGCTTCTCATTTAATTAGTCCATTTAAAAGTGAGCCAGATTTTAAGAGCATACCAATTAGTTCACAAAACATGGACTTTGGTGCAGACATGTCTCAAAATGCCACCCACAAGCAGTCTCCGCATTATCACTGCCAAATGCAGGGTAGGCCTCCTGATAAAGGAGATTCCTTGTCCATTACTTATGATCTCGCAAAGTATCTAGCTCATACGCAGCTTGTGTCAGCAGGGCTAACTTACGTTGATGACAAACCCATTAACTACGGGGCATGGAAATCATCTTTCCAAGGTGCTATTTCTGGTCTGGAGCTTACCCCTGCAGAAGAACTGGATCTCTTAATTAAATACCTCTCCGTTACCTTTTCGTGAGCCCAGACAAAGTCTACCTAATAACAAAGACTATGCATTGAAACGTCTTCTTGCACTGAGACACACTCTGAACAAGCGACCGCAAATGAAAGCACACTTCCTGGAATTTATGGACAACTTGCTAAAAAATGAGCATGCAGAGATTGCACCGCCTCTTCAGCATGGTCAGGAAGTGTGGTACTTGCCGCTGTTTGGAGTGTATCATCCTAAGAAATCTAATAAAATACGAGTTGTCTTCGATTCAAGTGCACCCTGTGAGGGAGTTTCACTGAACAGTGTGCTTCTCACAGGCCCTGATTTGAATAACAGCTTGCTAGGGGTCCTGATGAGATTCCGTAAAGAGCCTGTGGCTATTACTGCTGACATACAGCACATGTTTCATTGTTGCCACTCTTTTGACACAGAAGACAGGTGCAACACCTCCCCCACCTGGAGACTTTGGGAATAATGAGTTGCTGAAGGAAGAATGGAAACAAGTACAAAGGTTAGCCGACATCTTCTGGACAAGATGGACAAAAGAATACCTTAGTACTTTGCAATCCCGACGAAAGTGGCAAGACAAAAAACTGATCTAAAAGAGGGGGATATTGTCTTGGTAAAGAACATTCAAGTTAACAGAAATGAGTGGCCAATGGCAATCGTTGTACAAACTTCACCACGCAAAGATGGATTGGTGAGGAAAGCTGATGTTAAAGTCACTGAAGATGGCATTCAAAAAATGCTGTCACGTCCTATCTCCGAACTTATCCTTCTGTCACCTGATGACAAGTTATAATTTTTGGAATTCTTAAAATCCCAGGCGGGGAGTGTTCAGGACAGAATTGATTTAGATTTTTCATTGAATTTATTATTTTGTATATGTCTACTCAAGTGAGGACTTTAATTTTGAAAAGCAGTCACATAGTTCAAGAAGCAGGAAGTTCGAGCAGTACTGCAGTGAGTCAGCAAAATGTTGTAGCTGTTCTGAGTGAGGCTCATTCTGAAATATCTTCTCTCTTCTGTTAGAAGCAATGTCTGTGAGTACGCAGTGTTGAATATATTGTGTGATACATATAAGAATGTTATTTTGATATAATTGTGTATATTTTCTTTAATTGTTTTTTGTATATTTTTACAGTTTCACAGTTGAATCATAAACTTCAGAAACGACTTGATGTCTCCGGCGAGGTTTTTTGAGTCACTGTTTAACTTACTGGATAGTTAGATGCCAGAGAAGTCTAATAAGGCCAGTATACAATGCAAATGAAATAAATCAAAATGACCGCAAATTACAATATTACAAAAAATGCAAATTAACAAAATAAACACAAAAAACAAAAATGAATTCAAAATAAGAATAAATACTATAATAGTACAGAAATAATACGAAAAACACACTTTCCCATAGAAGCTATCCTCTCACACACAAAAAGTTATTTTGGCTTGGGACAGTAATCACCTACCTAGTAACCACCTAGAACAATTTAGTAACCACATGGCAACCACTCAGAACATCTTGGCAACCATATAACAACACCATGGCATTGAGCAAACACCTGTGTAAACCGCTGTTTATTGGGGTAAATGCCTATGCAATTACACCTACACTCTACCAAAATGTTTTGCAAAAAAATGTGTGATTGTTTTTAGAAAATGTCAAAATCTAGTTTGGTAATGTCTAAGTGATCACAAACTGGCCTAATTTCTGTGTCTCAAGACAGGAGAGGAGATGGATATGGGACTGAGGGATGATTGCAGAGCTTCATTGTCTCTCAGGAAGGAGATGATCCAGCTCCAGCCCCGCCGCTGCTCTCCCCGTGCCAACTGTCCCATTTGTTTATTTGTGTTTACTCTTTCTAGGCCCTGCACAAATAAATGAGATAAGTGAATCCTGCGTGTGTGCGCTGAGATGTTTTGATTCGGACAGCATCTGCATGAGATTCCTGTGACATTCCGGAGTTTTCTGGCGGATTCTGGGAATTGGGGAGGACAAGGTTGGGTTTGTGAATAGGAATGCTTGGTGGTCTTAATGAATGGCAGAAAGGCTTTAACGATGACACATATGAGTGACGGATTGCTTGGGAGCGCTGGCAAGGGGAATGTGTGATGAAGTGTTTCAGTTGTTGCGAGTGAGGGTATATTTGTGCAGGTGGGAACAAGGGCTGCCTGGGTGCTCAGGGTGTGTGTGTGGCCACATCTAATAGTGAATAGACTGGTGTGTGTGTGGTCAAAGCTGATTTAGTCAAATGGTGTGTAAGTGTGTGTGGCCTTGTGAGTGTGCTTTGTTTTATTTTTTTTTTGATGGTGAGATATCGGGACCCTAAGCAGAATTGAGAATGATGGTGACTCATAGCTGATTGTCTAGAAGACTTATGAGAACAGAGAGCTGGGGAGTGATCCTAAGCTTGGATCTGAGTGTATACACTTATGTGGGTTTTCATCTGACAAAATATCCCTTTAGGGAAGGTCCCAATGGTGAATATGCTTTGTAAGCATATTGCGTGGCATTGTATTTTAAGAGCTTCGTTTGTCTTGGCCATAGTGCAAAGAAAAATTGTGAAATATTGTAAAATGACAGAAGCCTTGGGCAACTGGTTGAAATGGTCAATTGGTAAAGCGGTTTGTTAATTGAACAACCTAACACCCAGTCAATTAGTGGAGATACTAATATAATTTGCATCCTACTTGCTTTTATTTTTAACAAATTAGTTATTACTACATGGTGAGCGTCATGTAATATTCTTGAGACATGCTGATAAGGTTTGTAATGTGATCCCCAACTTTTCATGTCCTGCTCATACGTAAAATATATAAATTATTATGTATTTGTTTTTGTTTATTTTTAATAATTGTTTGTTTTTTGAGAATTTAATACACACACACACATATATATATACACACATTATTATTATAATACATATATTTTGAAAGAAGTCTCTTATACTCACTAAGAACACGTATAACAAAAATAAGTAAATACAAATTGTTCTATTTTAATACATTTTAACATGTAATTTATTCCTGTGATGCCAAAACTGAATTTTCATTACTCGTCTTCAGTGTTGCATGATTCTTCATAAATCATTGGCGCTCAAGAAACGTATCATTTTCATCAATATTGAAAACATTTATTCAAAATATATTTTGTAACATTATAAATATCTTTACTTATGATCGTTTAAATGCATCCTTGCTCAAGTATTAAAAAGTAACAAATTACATTTTTTAAAATCAAAATCTGTAATACGTGTGTGTATTCATGTATTTTCAGATTTTATTTTATTTAAAAACCGTACAAAGAGTATAAAACAATAAAAAAGGCCACTTAAAAGAGTATAAGACAATAGGAGTCAATGGGAAGTCCCCACCATGATAGAAAAACAAACCTTTTTTGTCTGAAAACATCTTTTGTGTAAGAGCACCATGTGTGTCCATGTGGGTGGGTTAGCTGTGGTATTGTGTGTGCAAGTTTGGCCAAAGAAAAGGAAAACAAATGGCATATAATTCATCGTGGAAGTTATTGGCATGGGCACAAATGCACAAGTTAGCAAATAAATGATTCAAAAAAAGGCACTTTAATTGTTGAAAATGACACCTCGAACTTATGTTTTAAGGACACTGTAAAATTATACAATAAAGGGAGAGCGTGAGAGATATCAGTACATTCTTACCAAGATGGAGACGCAACATTGGTAAACAGTGCATAGCATCTTTTTTAAATGGAAAACAGTCCCACAGATCGGTGGTCAGAGAATTTAACAATCACAAAGAAAAAAAACAAACTCTCAGTGGAAAAGGAAATACAATAGTCCTTTTGTTTCAACTGAAAGTTCATGTTGCTCACTGGATTTCACTGTGTTCTGCCCCGCTCAAGTTTTTCACAGCAGTCACGTAAAGTCTCCGCAAAGCTCGGTGAGATTTAAAGTATGCAAACCATCACGTCCATGTTTTAGAAACCAGTCAAGCATTTAATTAAAAAACACACTCACTTATATACGCACCTAACATACATTTGTCTTCTGTGTTCTTTGTGGTTCAGAGGGCAAGCCCTGCTGTAATCCGTCTAGAGCCGCTGGAATTCAGCCATATTTCTCTTTCCTGGCCACCCCTCACCCCACCAAGAGCCCTATGTTGTACAGATAGGTACATATTTCAACTTGTATACACATGTGCACACTCACACATGACCCTGGGCGGGCTTGAGCAGATTGACTGGGATAATGAGTTCGGTCAGTGCGAATTGGTAGGATTATCCAGACTCCTTTGGGGAAAGTTCACCCAAAAATGAAAATTCTATCATTTACCCACCCTCATTTCAATCCAAACCTGTATGACTTTGCAAAATAAGATATTTTAAAGAATGATTTTTCCCCAGATTCCAGTGTTGTTTTGGACCAAATGAATTTCATTTGTATGAACGAACAAAAAAAAAAAAAAACCACACAAACATTTTTCAAAATAGTTATTTTGTGTTCCACAGAAGAAAGTCATACAGGTTTGGAACGACATGACAAAATGTTAAATGTTTTCGCTAAGCAGACGAAGTCTCACTGGGCTGCGAAATGATGGGTAATAAGCACTGATGAGGTTATATATGACTTCAACACTGATCTAAAACATATCTTGAACCTCCCTTAACATGATAAAAGTTAGTGATTAGATTGAGTGGTCTCAGATCAGTGCATAACGACAACCCAAAGGCACTTTTACACATATAAAGTCTAGTGGTATCTGACATCACATTCCCTTAAGACATAAAAAACACCCTGTATCGAGAAATTTTGGCATTGCGGCACGTTATACCAGTCGAGAGAAGTGCACTCACGCCAAAAGCATTAACCTGCTGAAGAATAATTTGTTCTTAATCCAGACAAACTGCAGATAAGAGTCAGACAGAATGAAGTTTTGTAATGTGTGGTATAACTAATATTATGACCATAGTTAAATGCCACAAAGAGTCTTGGCTCGTTCGCTCTTGCTGTATAATGTGATTTAAGGCACTGTCTTGGCAGGGACCCTTTAGCTCACCGACTTTATCAGTAAAAACTGGGGCAGAGTCCAGAGAGAAGAAAACATGCTCGTGGTTTACAATGAAACCCAAGCGAGTGTTTGCTCTCTCTCTCTCTCGCTCGGAAACACCATTATGACAGCACTCGATCATTTACAGTGGAAAAAGTAATCACCCTCTCCTCCTTCAAACACTTTCTCCTCAGGAAAAAACAGGCTCGTTTCGAGATTCACAGCGCTGTTTCATTTGGATAACGCCACGGCGTTTACGTTTACAGCGTGAGACTCATTTTGTGGCATTTTCATGGGAGAACATTGCAACGCTTGTACATTCATTTCCAAACCTCATGATTCTGAATTAAATACAATTTTATATACACAGGTTGAACCAACCAACCACACAGATGTACAGAGGACAGAAGAGATGGATGTACAACTAAGAAGAGGCACTTGGAGAGTGTTTGTATGTGTGTGCAGAAACGAAGCATTATATGGCCGCGACATTTCAACAAACCATGTAGCGTAGTGTTTATTTAACCTTTCATATGGCTGGCACCACGTGAGCTGGGAAGCACGTGTGTCTGTGTGTCCCTCCCTGACAGTACTTCCTCCTGCACCCCGGACTAGACAGCAGAGGGAGACTTGTAAAGATGATTTGTATCTGAGACAAAATGTATATGTGTGTTGTATCTTATCGCTGTGTTTTGTAAGCGTGGAAGCCATAAATACTCAAGAGAATGAGTGCTCTTAAATGCAACAAGCTGAATTCCTCTGTGTTTATGTGTGCATGTGAACTCTTTTAGGTCCTTTTCTTGTCCGGGCATGTTGCTCCGCTGGTCCGACAGGACGGGGAGAATTCCACAGTCTTGCAAACTGCCAGGATGCTTCTTTGAGGCTGGTAGAGCTGCATACTTCTCATCTTTCTTTCCTCTACATTGCCGCTGTCATCATTCTCTTCTCATATCTCTGTTTTTAAAACTGTTTTAGATCCGCTGTTCACAAAATATTCCCCTCCAGCGGACAAGAGCGAGTTCACACGTTAAACCCTATACACCATTGGCACAGATTCACTTTGTGTGAGTTTTTGTCTCTCCTCTTCGTTTTTTGCTACCGTTTCAAAGATCCACATCTTTGATGTGATCTGTAGAAATATACATACATTCCTCTGTCTTTAAAAGAAATAACCTTGTCTGAAATGTCTCTCATTCACACATCCTTCACATATTCGAAAGTCTTAAGGAAAGGAAAGTTGAACGATGAAGTCTTTTCTCTTTGGGTCGCAGCCCCAAAACGATCCACCCAATAGTAAGGTCCTGGGTTTAGCTCTTCTGATATGTTCTTACAGGTCCAGACGAAACGCTCCGAAGTAGCTAGAAGAGTCCTCGCCGTACACCATTGTGGGAGATGAGACGGACACGAAGACCTCGTCGCCTGCTTGCAGCTCAAACAGGCCGCCCTGGTACACTGAGTGAAGGGCGTATTCTGCGTCCGGAGCCCAACATTTGGTCCCCACTCCCTTCAGCAGCTGAATCGGCCTCAAGTAGGAGGTTTTCTTATAGATGCACTGAACCAGCTGGTGGCTTACGCCGTTTTGATCGCCCTCGCTAGGAGAGGGGTAGCGGAAGTACACCTGGGAGTACAGGTAGTAGCGACCACCCTGGGGTACGCGAAGGCGTCCATTAGCCAGTGTCATGTTGTGCAGATGGGCACCAAAGCTCTGGTTGGCCCAGGAACGTACAGGGTGGCGGCAGGACTGGTGCAGGTCTGGTTGAGGGGTGAAGTATTGAGCACCAACTGAGAAAAAGGGAGAGGATGGACTTTAGGTTAGCATGAAATGCCATTCGCAACCCATTTTACTTCTGTAAAGTATGTATTTTTGAGTGAAACATTTTGATATTCAATGCGACCAGTGTTGTTATTGTTAACCAAAACTAAATCTAAAAATATTAAAAACCATTGTCATTAATTGAAATAAAGCTGAAATAAAAATCTGACGAAAATTAGAAATGTTGCCTTGGCAACTAACTGAAATGACAAGGTTAAGCTGAAGTACTAAAATTACTAAAACTGAAATAAAATGCAGAAATAAAAAAAACTAATAAAAATGAAAAAAAGCACATAAAATTACTAAAAATGAGGCAAAAATTAAAATCTTATAAAGCTGAAAATATAAAAATAAAAGCTAATTCAAAATATTAATGAATAATAATATGTAGATACAAAAAGAAAAATGTAGAACAGGACTTTCATTCATCGGCAAGTGATTGGATTGTTAATTGATGAATTGCAAATGTTAATTATGGCCGGTAACGATAAGCTGATAATTTTTCACGTTATGGCTGATAACCGATAAATTACTGATATTAAAATTCAATAATATTTTGTGCAAATTAATAAAAAAAAAAGCAATAAAATCTAACATAAATCATTTTAAATGGTACAAGTGAATTTAGGCATCACAACATTATAAACATACAGTATAAAAATAATATTAATTTAGAGATTTGCTAAAGATTACATTTAACAGTGTTATAAAATGATTAGTGTTTTAAAGATTAACTTTAAGTGAGCATTAAAAAGCTGGTTTAGACTCCTCTGATATGAATAATTTTCATCCCATTTCAAAATTGCCTTTTATTTCAAAGATGCTGGAGAAGATTGTGTATGCACAGCTTAATGATTTTTTGGTGAAGAACATTTCGGTCAGGGTTTAGAGCCGGCCATAGTACAGAATCAGCTCTTTTAAGGGTTACTAATGATATTCTACGTGGCGCTGATTCTGGAAGTTGTGTTGTTCTGTTACTTTTAGATCTTACCGTAGCATTTGACACAGTTGACCATAAGATTCTCATTGATCGCCTTAGAGACCATGTTGGCATTCAGGGTTTAGCCTTAGTTTTCTTCATATTTAAAAGATAGGACTTTTTCAGTCAGTCTAGGGAATTACTCTTCATCTGTTGCCCCTCTCATGTGTGGGGTTCCTCAGGGTTCAATCCTGGGACCGGTTTTGTTTTCCCTTTATATGCTCTCTCTAGGATCAATTTTTGAAAAACAAGGCATTCATTATCATTTGTATGCTGATGACTCACAACTTTATTTACCATTGAAATGGAAGGATCATTTATCCATTCAATCTTTGTATGAATGTTTGGCTGAGGTTAAGTGTTGGCTGGCTAATAATTTTCTCCAACTGAATGAGAATAAGTCTGAGTTTATTTTATTTGGTAAAAAGGGATGTGTGGATGATGACTGGGGTTACTTCCTGGGAAAAATCTTTCTAGAGTGAAAAACCTTGGTGTCATTTTTGACTCGGAGCTCAAATTTGATCGTCAAATTAATGCCGTTGTTAAAAATAGTTTTTTCCATCTTAGATCTTTATCTAAGTTGAAGTCTATCCTTTCTTTTGAGGACTTGGAGAAAGTTGTGCATGCTTTTGTGTCATCTCGTTTGGATTATTGTAATGCATTGTATCTGGGTGTGAGTCAGGCCTCTCTCTCCCGCCTGCAGCTTGTTCAGAATTCAGCGGCTAGGCTTTTAACGTGTACCAAGAAGAGAGAGCATATTACTCCTGTGCTTATTAATTACACTGGCTTCCTGTACGATACAGGCTTCATTATAAAGTGCTATTATATGTTTTTAAAGCTTTGCATGGTTTAGCACCAGAGTATATTTCTGATTTAATCAGTTTGCATCAATCCAATAGGTCTTTGCGTTCTAACGATCAATTACATCTGATGGTTCCTCGATCTCGTTTAAAATGTAAAGGTGATCGGTGCTTTTCTGTTGCTGCTCCAAGGCTTTGGAATGACCTTCCTCTGTCTGTAAAATCTTCTCCTACACGTCCTGTATTTCAGAGTGCGCTTAAAACTAATTTGTTTTCATTAGCATTTAAAAATGTCTTGTAATTTGTTCTTTGTTGTTGTTGTTGTTGTGGTATATGTTTATAATGTTTTATGCTTGATTTTATTTTTATATTTTTATTTAGTCTTCCTGTACAGCACTTTGGTTTCCACACCGTGGTTTTGAAAGTACTTTATAAATAAATAAAGTTAAAGTTGATGGAATGACCTCCCGATCTCAATTCGAACAGCTGAGTCTTTAGCCATTTTCAAAAAAACATCTAAAGACACAACTTTTTCGCCAGCACCTGACCAACTAATACTAGCACTTACCTATTCTATTCTGTTTTATTCCATTCTATTATAAAAAAAAAAAACACCCTAGCTACGTGTACTGTGCTAGCCTAACTGAGACTTGTCATGGCACTTGTATACTGTTGTTGTTCTCTCGGTCTGATTGCTTCTATTGTTCTCATTTGTAAGTTGCTTTGGATAAAAGCGTCTGCTAAATGAATAAATGTAAATGTAGATTGGCAGGTTTGAGTGCAGGAAAATACAGTACAGAATACAGAAACCAAATACTACATCGCCAATCTGGCATCATTTCCATTCATGTCACCCATCCGCATTTGTACAAATGTCTTCAAGTTTACGTGATTGCAAACGCTCGGCTGGTCAAGTTTGTATTTACTGCATTCGGTGTTTGAAAAAAAAACAAAAAACATGAATTACCATTCTGAAACATCCTGTTGTAAGCGCGTTTGAGGAGGTGGTTGGTTGTCTCCTGTCGTCGCCGAGTCGGGGTCTGAGTTCAGCTCAAACATGTAAGGCCGGACAACATTTCGCTCAGCAGTGACCATCATGTTTCTATTGACCTTACTTGTGAGCATCACCAATCCACAGCAGGCTACAGCATACATGACCCTAGTTACCTGTGGTTGGCCTGGCCGTGCGTCACTCAGAAAACAACAGGCCAATCAGAAGAGAGGCTCATGAATATTAATTACACAGGCCAAAATCGACCTGTTCTTTGCAGAGCTCCTGAGAGAGGAGCTGTAAAAATATATTGAGATGGTTTTTGGTACTTATACCGCAAATATATATTCTTAAGGACATCAAGACTTAAAATAAAACTCCAGAAAGGTGTAAAATATGTGAACTTTAAGCTCTTTAAAAAAAATAAAACTAATTTTGTTTAACACTCACCTTTCATGATCTAATCACTTCCTGATTTATGAAAGTCCTGCCCTGCATTTTTCTTGTATTCAGTGTTCTTTTAGTATCTATTTACTATTATAGTATTTGTTAATATTTTGAACTAGCTTTAATTTTTATATTTTCAGTTTAAATTTTAATTTTAGTTTAAGTTTTAGTAATAAAGTTTAGCACTTTAAGACCTTATTTTATTTCAGTTAGTTGCCAAGGCAACATTTCTAATTTTTGTTAATTTTTTTTGTAAATGTTTTTTTTTGTTTGTTTTTTTTGTAGTTTTTCAACTAATATTTAGATCAGAGCTTTAGAACAAAGTCTTTAAGCTCACAATAAACACATTTGAGCCTGCAATACACTAGATGACTTTTGCCCAAATTTTTTCCCCTGATTTGCAGTCTAGACGAGTCGACGCTAGTTACTAAAATTCAGAGCCAGTCTGCAGAATTCGGTCACTTAGCATATAATGCTCAGTTTTTTCTCTGTAACCATTTATGAAGTCGCAAGTGTACGATGCCTTGTGTTTTAAAATCTGCTCAGATTTTAAAAGTCATGTAGTGTATTCCAGCCAGCACTGTAACTAGTACCGTACATGCACATGCTTTTTGTGTCCTCCATGTACTGTACATGACCCACCCATACATCCATCCTGCCAGGCAGAAGCAGAGTTTCCCGATGACAAAAATGCCCGGCAGACAGCTGCCAAGAAGAAATTGATTATATAACAGCCTGAAATTGTTTAATTATTTAGCTACTGTAAAGTAATATCGCTAAATATCCCCAAATCTTGTCTGCTCCTTTGAAGTTCCACTATAGCTGCTCGGATCAAAGTCCTGTTTACTGCATGCGTGCCAGAAAAATAAAGATATTTATTCAGTCACGCATCCCAGAAGGAAATGAAACCAAGTCAAACCAGCTTTGTTTCTGGAGCACAAGTCATAAGTCTGACCGCTAAACTGCAAGGGAGTGTTTTTCGTTTTTACACGTGCACGCATTATTCACAAACCTGTCTGCACAGTGCTTGGTGATGGATCACATACACACACTATGAAAATTGCACATGCCATTAACTTCAAAAAGCCGAAACTGTTTAATCGATGAGAACATCTATATTAACCGCTGTGATAGCGGTGGGCTTTCCTACACATCTGTACTTCATGTACAAATCAACTTTTGTCAGAAGAATGGCCCTTTTAAAACTTTCTGAAGCAGTAAATCAAAGAGCAGGTCTAGCGTGTTATTGGTCTTCTTTGAGGAATGTGGCTCATTGTGTTTGAGGAACATGCCGCCTGCTCCTCCATGTGCTCTACACCTCCCTTCCTCCCCAGTCTTTCTCTCTCTCTGTTCTTCGATTTTTCACTCTGTCTGTGACTTCCTCTCCTGTGCAGCCATACCTTCCTGTTCTGATCTCTCCTGTACTCTTAAGACAATCCACCAATCTTTCATTCCTCCCTTATAGCTTGTGAATTATGTGCCTTGCCTTAATTGGCACCTGCTCCTTGTCTTGGAACCTTTCTTCTTCTTTTTTTACTACTGTTTTTTTTTTTTTTGTCATGAATTATTTGCCTTTCCACATTCAGATTACCTTTGGCATTACTTAAAGAAGGGGCTGGATAACTGCATGTTTAAAACTAGGTGGAACAACACCAAATGTCAAGCTACTATTCATAATAGTTAAAAGGCATGTACCAATAGAATTAACCACTTCTTTAAATAAAAGAGACGGAATTCACATCACAGGGAGACCTAGTGGGCTTCATGTGCGCAATTATTTCTTTGAGCTGTGGAAGAGAGACAGGCATAAAACAAGTCTCTCTTCCATGGAAGGACAGAGTGTACAATAAAATCATTAGTAACAGATGAAATCTGGGATCTAATTCCAGCAGTCTTATCAATTAAATTTTTTAAAAACTTTTCACGTGTCAACAGAACAAGAGAGTAATGGCATAACAACAGGATGGAGTACAGTGTTTATAGTAGAAAAAAGCACTCTAGAATTATGGCAGTTCTTCGAGATAATAGAAAAATAATTAGGTCTAGCTAATTTAACAGCTCTTTGGTATTAATTTAAACAACTCTTCAAAATCTCATAAGAAACCTGTAGTTTATCTTTTATAGCAGTTCTTCGAGATAATATCAGAAAAATAATTAGATCTAGCTAATTTAACAGCTCTTTGGTATTCACTCAAACAACTCTTCAAAATCTCATAAGAAACCTGTTTACGTTCAGCCCTCCTGCACTCTTGCCTGAGAGCACGGGTATTACTGTTCAACCAGGGCTGTGTCTTGACCTTTTTATTCCTAATTTCCAAAGGAGCCACAAGATCTAAAATATCTGAACATGTAGAGTTGAACTGATTGACCAACTGTTCAGGTCCAATACAAGGAGAGGGAGACTAAGCTAATTAAAGGAGAAACTACAAAGGCTGCTGAAAATGTACTAGCAGTACAAGGAGTAAGAGCACGAGAAGCAATAGAAGAAGAAACATTCATAATCTGAGTACTACATGGGAAAGTAGGGCTAAAAAGGGCTTGTGGTCAGAGAAAACAGTGTCTGCAATTTTCACCCCACTAACTGAAAACCCTAAAGATAATACAAGGTCAAGAGTATGACCACGCTCATGTGTTGGACCAGAAACACACTGTAAATGATCAAATGTATCTAATAAATTTAAAAACTCACTAACCAGGGGCTTTGAAGGGCAACAAACATGTATGTTGAAATCCCCCAAAATGAAAATATTGTCAAAAGAAGGGACAATAATAGATAAAAATTCAGAAAACTCCCACCAGCTGGGCACAGTCCAGGAAAAGGACCGTGAGAGTGATTTAGTAACGTGAGCTTTTTTAGGCTCATTGAAGACCACTCTCGCTGATCCTAATGATGACATGTAGATGGAGAAGAGAAGTGGTCCAAGCACTGAGCCTTGAGGAACCCCAGTAGCAAGAAGTTGTGACTTAGAAACCTCACCCCTCCAAGACACCCTGAAGAACCTACCTGAGAGGTAGGACTTGAACCACAGGAGTGCGGTTCCTGAGATGCCCGTCTTTCTGAGGGTGGACAGGAGAATCTGGTGTCAAAAGCAGCAGACAGATCCAGCAAGATGAGTACTGAGGATTTGGAAGCTGCTCTTGCCAGTCTCAGGGCTTCAGTAACCGAGAGCAGGGCAGTCTCAGTTGAGTGGCCACTTTTGAAGCCAGATTGGTTGCTGTCCAGGAGGTTGTTCTGTGCAAGAAACATGTAGTTTTCTAAAAGTGCTGGATTTACAGAGGGTTTTTTAAGCAGTGGGCTTACCCGAGCCTACTTAAATGCTGTGGGAAATGTACCAGTGTGAAGAGAGGTGTTGATAATGTGAGTAAGCGAAGGTATGACTGAAGAAGAAATGGCCTGAAGGAGGTGAGTGGGGATAGGATCAAGGATAAGTTTGGAAACGTCCGTCTCCGAGAGTGGAGAGAAGGAGGAGGAGAGTGTGTATTTGTCGTTATGAAGATATCATCAGTTTGTGGTGTGGGGAATTGGTCACTGCTGGTTCTTGTTTTATTTGTGAAGAAAATTGCAAAGTCATCAGCTGTAAGAGTTGATGAAGGAGGAGGGGGAGGAGGACAGAGAAGAGAAGAGAAAGTTTTGAAAAGTGTGTGAAAGTCAGAACAGTTGTTAATTTTGTTGTGGTAGTATGTCGTTTTAGCAGAAAAGACATTTGCAGAGAAGGAAGAGAGGAGTGACTGATACACACTAAGGTCGGTAGAGTTTTTTGATTTGCGCCATTTCCTCTCTGCAGCCCTGAGTTTAGAGCGATGTTCACGGAGAACATCGGACAGCCAGGGGGCAGAGGGGGTAGTGTGTGCTGGTCTGGATGAAAGTGGGCAAAAGTTGCATTATTAAACTTGTATACAAAACTTTGTATTATGCTTGTTATAGAGTGTGTGACATCACGTGCACTTCCGCCGGTGGCAATAGACAACAGTTGACGCGGTTGTCACGGCGACCGTCACAGCCCTACTGTGCAATGATGTGGTTTCCTGACATCTAGACTGAACAGCGTTTTCTCTACATGTTTCCGTGTTGTTGTTGCTCAGCAATGGCATGGACGCAATGTTGTCTGGGGGTTTGGCAAAAGGAGAGTGGGACGGTGGGCAGTGCTCGGGGTGGTGACTGAAGGCGGTGACTGAGTAGTTCTGACGTCACCTTTTTACGGAAGTCACAATGGTTCGTGAAAAATCACAGCTACTTTATGCAGGCTGTGTGCATTTGACTGTAGATTAGGGCTGTCAAAAAATTTTTCGAATATTCGTCGAATTTAAAATAAAAAATCCACATTCCACAAAAATCCACAATTTTAGGTGTGCGTCAGGCAGCCTTATCAATGGCGCACAAAATGCGACGACGATGTAAGTGTCGTTGCATTTTAATGCTTTTGTTAGCCTGTCCATTTGAACCCACTAGATGCGGCGCTGCTACGTTGTTCATTCAAAATATTGCAGACAAAAAGAACAATTAATGCGGGGTGTTGTTTACGTCAAAACTGAAACCAAGCCGTTCACACAGAACGCATATTTATCGCATTTTCTAGAGGGACTATCACTGTTGCACTCGCGTCTCGCACAAGAGAGCCGCATGTTTAGAAAGCTATGTAAAATGAATGTAAGTTCAACTTTTAAAAAACATGTCAATACTTTATGGCGGTTTTCCCCATCCCACTGCATCTGAAGTTTTTAAATGAAGAAAATACTCTTTGTGATTGGCTTTCGACCCTTTGTATTAAACTATACATACATGCATGATGCTGTTTTGTTTCTAATTGTTTTAGCAACTTTATTGTTTATATATGGTTTATAAACATTATTTTAAACATTATGCACTTTTTTCAAAGATAGTCATGTTCTTTTATTATGCTTTGAAGAAACGTGCATAATATTTTGCTGGATGCGCCCTCTTGTGGCCCCAGGACAGAAGCCAACAGCTTTTATCCCCCTAACTGAAATTATGCCTTTTAAATTCGAATATAATTAAAATATTGATAATATTTAAGTAAAAAATTTGAATTTAGTTTTTCATCCATTTTGACAGCCCTACTGTGGATTGACTGTTTTGAAACTTATATGGTAGTTACATAGCACCTAGACCTCAGTTATCATGAAAAAAGCCAGGAAATTTCAGTTTTGACAATATGGGACCTTTAAAGACTGATCTTAATGATTAAAAATAAGCTTTACAGTTATACGCTCAAGTTAAATTAAATTATTTTTATAGACTAATTTTAATTTAAATTTATTATATAATTTTTATATTGTTTATTTTATTAATAATATAGTTTTTCATTTTACTTTAATTTTTAGAAGAATATTTATTTATTTATTATTATTATTTTATTTTTATTTTTTTTGTGCTAAATTGATCAGTGTTGTTGACTCTAAAATGTGGAAAATAGTAAACAAAGAATAGATGGGTATGTCCAAAGTTTCGGCTGGTACTGTATACACACACACACAAAACGAAGCTCACCTGGTAGGCTGCTAAGAGTCAGGTGGGCTGATGGTCGCTGCGTCACTGTGGTCATGAACTTCGACCCTGATGTATTATATGAATGAGGCATGGCTCTTGCTTCTGAGGGAGAGACAGACAGTAGACAGTCGGCACATTCAGATAGATCATAAAATATTTACTGGTGTTGCACAAGACATTTTAACCTGCTATTTGAACCACACTGTGTTTTGGTACAGTCTAATTTTGTCATTGTTCCTGGTGTCTCTAGCATTGTGCTGTATGCTGTCATTGTGATTATGCTGATTACAAAGAGTGACTGATCATATACTCACCGTGGAAAGCCTGTTTGGAGATGATACTGTCTGTAACCTGTGAAAAAAAAAAGAGAAAAAAAGTCCCATTAGTACTGTGACATGATGATTCTTCAAATTCTAGATTGTTAACAGGAATGTGAAACTGGATGATTCAGTTTTATGAGCATGTCTTTTCTTCTTTTTGGTTTTTGTTGGCAGATGACTGCAGTTAAAGTTTACCTCAAGTTACAAAACAGCAACATAAGTTAATTGTCCATTTTATTACAGAAACACTTCTATGTTTTTCAGCCTTTGAAGACGGCGGTTTCTAAGGACAGAAATGATCTCTTTGTGTTGAGCTGGAACAGCTAAGAATAGTTTTTAAGGTCACCTTTCTCAAGGGCAGTTTTTCAGTAGTCTGTGACGGCCGTATTTCAACCAGTCAAACCCCAGTATCCAGATCATTAGTCCCACCGGCTGGGTCTTGAACTAAAAACACTCTGATTACTGGCTCGTTTCCATCGCCTCAGGTCAGCCTCAGCTCTGGGATTGATTTAGTGCGTTCCAAACACCGTCTGATTTACCTAAATTAAACTAATTGAAAACTCGTGATGATTTGTTAAACATGGGACTGAATCACTGCATTAAAACTATTTAGCAAAAAATACCATGTTAAATAAAACAATTTCATCAGGAAAAATATATTCCATATAATCCATAAAACTGTTCAGATAAAAAAAAAAACTACTAAGTAACAGGCCAAAGTTTAAACCAACTCCCTGGTTTTGACCTCTCCTAACATTTTCCTTCCACTCTCTTGAATACTTATTGGAAATAGGTTAAATGCCTCTTAAACACCATATAGTTACAAGAAATATCAAATTTGGCATGTACGTTTTACAATGTATTTTAGCCTATGAAATGTATGATATTTTGCCTTTCAGTGTTTCGTGGTACATTATGTTGTGTATTACTGTCCGTGTTAAAATATGAACAGCTTTTTAAAGCAAACACTTTAATGTTAGCTTTCTGACATGACTGTGTTTGATAAATCAACAAATGAATGTTTTTTTTTTCTTCTAAAGGAATAAAAATGTATTCCCTTCTCTCTCTGTCTGCCCCCACCTCCCCAGTCCCTCTCTGTCTGGCATCATCCAAGAGTGAGTGTGTGATGGAGTCTCTGTTGTTCTTGGCGCTCTCTCTCTCCTCTCCATTCATCAGACAGCCGAGCGCCTGCAGCCTTTATATCGTGACATAATCTCACCTAGGCCACAGCAGAGATGGATTTCTGACCAAGGCTTTTACTTTTTCATCATTATAAATGATCCTGAAATCAATTCCACGTCTCACATATGGAGCAGATAAAGGGCTGTTTTACAAGCATGTTCTTGTACATGCAGCATGTCATACAAGAAAGACAGAAGGAAAAAGAGAACAAGATGGATAGACAGAAATAATTTCAATTGTCTTTATAATTATTTTCATCTTTCCAGCTATGCTGCTTTTATTTTATTTACTCTGCTAAGTAATATTCTACTATTCTGGATGGATGGATGGACGGACAGATAAATAGATTGCTAGGATGTTGCTATGATGTAAGATGGTTACTAGGGTGTTTGGGGTGGTTGCTAGGACAAATAGAGAGACTGATAGCTCCTGATGGAATCCCGTTGGACTTTCTGTTATAACTGATCAAAAGGATCCTAACTTTCTTATAGGAAACACAAAAAAACACCAAAAGTAATTTAGAAAGATCTTTCAACATTTTAAAACTCCTTTTGCTGCCAGTGCAATTTCCTTTAACTGTTCTACACAACATCCTATAGTCAATTAAGAATCCTAAAACTCCTGTAGAAATTTTGGTTTATCCAGTAAGATCTTATGGGATTCTTAGTTGATCCCAATAGGATCCTTTTGGATTGGTTCCCATTTATGACAGAAATTCCAATAAGAATCCATCACACTGAATTTTTTTTGGCTAGGGAGTCAGTGAGGTCTAGTTAAAGTGAGTGCGCAATCTGTTTTCTGTAAAACACAACATAGTTCAGAAGGTTGAGGCCAGAGAACAGACCCATACAAAGACCTCAACAATAACAATAAACACACTCAACATTAAACCTTTGCCCCCCTGCACTCATGTGCCAGAAAAGACGAACGACCAAGGAAGATTTTTCCTTCATTCATGGAGCAGGATGCGGGTGAGTGCATGCACACTGCGTGCGAAGAAAGCCATTAGCATCCTCTCCAGTTTAGTCACTTAGTCAAGCTTAGTCGAGACAGCAATCCAATACTTTAAAACAGCTGTAAGTGCCAGAGTTTGCTCTGTCATTGAGATTCTGAAGCACAGCGCGTTCCCTTCCTCCAGGAGGATTATTAATAAATAACTGTTGCTTTCCTTGGGGCATAGAGCACGGCAAACAATAAATCTCAGAGTGCTAGACTTTGCTCAGTGTGACTCAGGTAAATGGCTAATAACCCACAGTACTGATAGACACACACACACAACACTATATTTGACTGTGTACACACTCTCCGCTGGATAAAATCAGTGCACGCCTGTTATGGGCCTTTGAATGAATGGGGTGTGTGTGTATGCTTACAAGTTGTTTCCTGCCATTCTTGGCTGCTGTCTGAGGTCGGCCCCATTCCTCTATACCCCGGCCCCCTTCACCAGAGCCCTCAACGTTCCACTACAGAGCACAACAGTCTGACCTTAAGCACTGAGAATTCATCTCTCTTTTTTCCTCTTTCCCTCCCCCTCTGTAAAAGTCTGCATCTGTTCACCTGGGACGGCTGCTCCAGCTGTGCGTAAATTACAACCAATAAAAATGTGATCATTGGACTATTACACTTAAATCAAAAGTAAGCCTTTGTATGAACTAAATATTTATGAAACCTTCTGACCAGGAGTATGTAATTCAGTTGGTCTGCCAGTAATATGACAGACTGATTGGATTACATCAGTGAGAGCATAATTTTTGTGACATATATACTGTTATATAGTTTAGGGTCAGTACGAATTTTTTTAAAATGTTGTTTGAAAGACATCTCATATGCTTACCAAGGCTGCATTTATTTGATCAAAAATACAGTAAAAAACTGAAATGTTGTGAAATATTATTACAATATAGAATAAGTATTTTCTGTTTTAATATATTTTAAAAAGTAATTTATTCCTGTGATGCAAATCTGAATTTTCAGCAGCCATTACTTCCAATTGTCACACAATACTTCAAAAATCATTCTAATATGCTGATTTCTTGCACAAAAATAAAAAATTTCTTATTATTATCAATGTCGAAAACAGTTGTGCTGTTTAATATTTTTTGTGGAAACAGTGATACTATTTTTTTTCAGGATTTTTGAATAAAACATTCAAAAGAATAAAATGTATTTAAATGCGAAATCTTTTAAAAGTTTTTGCTGACACTTTTTATTTAATTTAATACACCCTTGCTGAATACATTTTTTTTTTTTTTTTTTTTAATATTACCGAGTAGTATAGTAAGACATTTATCTTGGTATACCATTCCTAAATAAATAAATATATAGGAATATAATATATTTATTAATATATTAGTATGGATTTTGACTTATGGCTTATGTATCACATTTCTAAGAAAATTAATTGTTTTATAAAAAACTGAAGACAACGTTTTGGATCAATACAGTCAGGTGTTAATTTATGAGACTACACACTATTAATGGTGCATCCAAATTAAATTGAGAGCTACTAGACCCCTAGTGTGAACTTTATGTCCACATTTAGCTTTAGTCTGGATACGAAGATTTGACATGACTGAACACCTGAGAAGAGAAGATGCCAACCCCTCCGAGGACCTCAGATGACGACAAACCTGAACTAACATACAAAACTACCAAATTTTCTTTAAGTTTGATCACAACATATAATCATTGCTAATTTGCTATTAATAGTGTTCACCGTTTGTTTGTTTGAATACATTAACTGCATGATTTTTACTGTACATTTCTGTCATATGGACATCACCTTGACATAGTCACCACTGATAAGCTACTCCTAAATATAATGTAGAAACTTTAATTTTCTGTGAAGCTGCTTTGCAACGATTTTTATCGTGAAAGGCGCTATACAAATAAACGTGAATTGAATTGAATTGAATTTAGGACTTACAAGCGGCTGGTGCAATCCTACCCTGCACTTTAAAAACAGCAGACAGGATTAGTTATGTTTGTGCCTGTGTCTTCTTCCTCTCTCTCTCTCGTCAGGACTCTCTGCCACAGTGACACTTAATGGGGTGTTAAAGATGTGACAGGCTGTCTTCAGTCTCTCTTTTGGTGTGGAGAATGGGCTTGAAGACTTCCGAGGCTTTAAACCCGACTTAATCTCTTTCTTTCTTTCTCTCTCTCTCTCTCTCTCTTTTTAGACGGAAGGTCGCTGCAGAGCACTCGCTGAAATTCGACTCTAAGTAATACCAGCTTTGAGAGCTCAGCACATATTTGGCAGGAGGCGAGCCATCGTGTAACTCCACGCAGCGCAACATGAGAACACCAACTGGACTGACCTTTATTACTTTATTAACGTTTTTCTTTTTTTTCACCTTTTTTCACCCTAGCAAATCTCATGTTTACTTGTTATCAAACCCAATCCACCAGCTAGTAGTTTCCCATAGATTTCTGAAACAAACAATACATTAATCCAGAGAAACCGCATGTAGTAAAACCAACCACACCATCAAAAACACGGTCCTTGAGCTATGATAATGCAGAAGATAAAGGTTAGAGGGTAGACTGAGATGGCCTTTGTGTTTGTTCTGAGGCTGGCGGAAAATCTTGCGGCTGCCGGGATGCCCCGAGTATGATCACTGCTTTCATCGTAAATCTGTTTCAGACGCCGGTGGTGATGCAGTGCTGCGGATGTGAGCCCGAAGACGAGATGCTTCCTCATCTAATGAGTCATTAGGAGAATCCGAGACAAGCGGAGAATGGGGACAAAACGTCCCATTTAGCTTTGCGGGAAACTGAGGAGGGATTTAGGGATATTGAGAGGACTCAAGTGGCTGCTGCTTCTGTCCTGTTCAGGGGTCCTGTTCAGGTGTAGGTTGAGCATATAATATTCCTTGGAATGCTGATATTATTTCTAGACTGGATCGTATCCATTCTGGCTGAGATGTTGTAGCGTCTTTTGATTTGTTGACTTGTGTTAATATTTCTGCATGTGATTCTCTGCGGACGTGGCCATCTGTTTGGAGAATTAACGGAACTCTTGCAGGGTTCGGCTCTTGTTAGCCGTGCAGTCATTCTGCATTACGTGTTACACCAAAGCCGGACAAGGGCCACGGAAAGTCAGGGAGCAACAATGATCAGCGGTTTGCATATACTGCACGTCTGTATGCTGTTTGTGTGCGGAGTCCGGCTAAAGTTGAGAATCTGGAGGACATCAGACTTTTCTTTTTGCTTTTTTTTGGAGCCCTCCATAATAACTACCAGGTGTTCTGGAATTCTCTGGATTCTGAAGGCCTTCGCTTCAGAAACATGCATTTCCTTCATCTCTCCTCACTCACTCATTCGCTGCCTTTGCCACGAACACTCTCTCGATCCTCCTTATCCTCTCGTTCTTTTTCTGTGTGCTTTACCTCTGTGCTGACATGAAGCTGGAAAAGAGCCCGAAGCCTCGGCGTGTGCTTGTTTGGCCTGTTTCTTTCTCTGCGTGAAAATATCTTCCTCCTTTATCTAAATCTGAATCTCACCCTCTAATTCGTATTGACGCGTGAACATGCAAGCAAATACATGCACGTATATGTTATGTTTTCTCTCTGTGTATTTTGAGACTTATGTACTCGTCTAACCCTTAAGTTCTCTTTTTATTTGGCAAAACTCTCCATTATTTGTTTACTTTTTCCACTGACCGATCCCCTAGCATGATCAGGGAATTCTTTAACGCACCATAATTGCATCTCTCAGAAGTGGCGCATGTGTTTTTAATTATGAGGCAAATGCCTCTGTCTCTGAGTGCCAATAAATTGTTTGCAGTCTCACTCAATTAGTAGTGAAAGATTTGACGGTACGCACGGGCTGTTGCACATAGCGGCAGGAGGGAAAGGGGTAGGACGGGGTAGACATGCTCCGTAAATCTGATAACACATATTCCCAGAGCCGAGGGACTTGGGTAAACAAAGAGGTGGCACGGAAAATTACTAAAGAAAAATGGCAGAAGTTGCGACACTTCCACCATAATGAAAAGCCTAAAGTCAAAATGAACCCTATTTACTTTCTAAACAAATGTTTCCTGGTTTTATTGTGAATGATTCATTGGTGCAGGTTGTTCCAAACAAAGAATTTCTTTCTCCTCTGAAACAACTTTTACTTTTCTGCTGATGTCACTTAGGCCATCAAGGCTATTGGATAATGTTAACCAATAGCCAAATAGTTATTTATTCAGTCTGACACTGATTGATAAAATCAAATAGGGACGCACAATATATTGGTACCATAACAGTAATCTTCTGATGTTAAAGTGCCCCAATTATGCCATTTCAAATATTGCCTTTCATGCAGTGTGTAATGTAGCTGTATGTGAATGTAAAGGATTTGCAAAGTTGTAAAGCTGGAAGTGCACGATAAAGAAAGTTATTGTCTCCCAAATGAAAACAATCAACTCTGAACAGCCTAAAAGAGTCGTCAGTAATTCAAATCCCACTTCCGTGACAGCGACATGTCACGGGGGAACACATTTCCTTAATGCCCACCTATGTTCTACGTTGGCCGGCCGCAAACAACTTGACCCGCCCTCAAACACTGTAGCTTGTTCGTGTGGTTAACATCATGTCGAGAAGATGCTGTGTCCTACGCTGTGAAAGTAAATTTGTTTTATTTTCAACTCTGAAAGATGAGTCTGCAAAGAATCAGTGGTTAAAATTCACAGCAGTACAATCTTCTTTTTTTTTTTGGTGTTCTTGTCATTTTGCTGATGACTGCTTCTCTATTTTTGGGGTACTTCAACGCGGGATTCCCAAACGCTTGCTCTTGAAAGATGGCTCAGTACACAGTTTATTTGGACCAGTTGGCTCCACTGAATCACAACCTGTAAGTATGATAAATAATAGATGTTTACATTTTCTATCGAGTGTTCAAAATACGGAACTATGGCAATGTTAGTGTATCGTTTCCGACGCGCAGTACGCGGTATATCACAGCAGACTAAGCCATCTGACCAATCAGTGCAGAGTAGGCTCACGGAAAGGAGTTTAAGAGACTGAATCTTGGAACTGCTTCGAACTAATCGTTTGAGAATCGTTGGAAAATTAGGTGATATGAAATGCATATTTTCAGAAAACGAAAGCGTTTTTTGACCTCGCATGCATGCAAACCTATTATAGGAGACTCCCAAAACAATATTAGGAATCTCAAAAATGGCAAAATAGGGGCACTTCAAAGATGTTTAATTAGTTTTATTCGTGAATAATGGATATATAATTGTTCATGTTTTATTTTAATTTATTTAGACAAAATAGAAATTTGAATATCTGCCTTAACATACAATACTAGTGTTCAAAGGTTTTTAGGTCAGTTTTTTTTTTTTAAAGAAATTCACATTTTTATTTAGCAAGGATGCATAGTGAAAGAGTGACATTATTTTACATGGATACAGTTTATATTTTAAATAAATGCTGTTGTTTTCTATTCATCAAAGAACCCTGAAAAAAATGTTTCACAGTTTCCACAAAAATATTAAGCAGCAAAAGCAGTTTTCAATTTTAATGATAATAATAATGAATGTTTCCTGAGCAACAATTCAGCATCAAATAAATGCAGCATTGCTGAGCATAAAAACATCAAAAACATAATCTATCAAAAACATTAAAAAATCTTACCGATCTCAAACTTTTCAACGGTATTGTGTTTAGTGTAAATAAGTGTTTGACTTTACCACTTGATGCTCTGCAAGTCTAATCACACCTTTAGAACAAGACTTGCTCAAAACCAAGCCCTAGGCTTTCAAACATGTCAGTTTTATTAATGTAACCACCACTGGAAGGCTTTGGGGGGAAAAAGCTGACACCTTTAGAACAAGACTTGCTCAAAACCAAGCCCTAGGCTTTCAAACATGTCAGTTTTATTAATGTAACCACCACTTTGGCTTTGGGGGGAAAAAGCTGAATGCTGAAGGGATAACCAGCCACGCCAGGAGAAAACCAAGCCATTTCCTTCAAATCTGAGCTCTGACTGCTAGACTGGTTCATGATCGGGACAAGGGGGTGACTCACCCTCTACAATGCTGCATATACAAGCATAAATGCCTGAAAAACTCTCCCATGACTCATCCATCCACTTTTCTTCCCTAAGGAGATTGTAATCACTTGCCAGGACACATTTATGGTAATAGCATGTTGCTTCTTGCTGTGAGGAGCTTCATTTGATACTGTTGTCTACAATTGTGCCCATGCATTGAAAAGGCAGATGATGTTTTTAATAGCTGTTATTAAGACACGGCTTGCCTCAACAGATATCCCAACAAATGAAGGCAGAATGTTGTGCAACAAGTACAATCAAACCGAGATGTGAACTCACCTTGGAAATATAGGCTTTGATACCCTCAGCTAGCTTGATGCAAGGTTCTCCAAACAATTGGGCCAGGTCTTCGGGAATGTCCCGGTCTTTATCCAGGGCGTTGAGCAAGCCCAAGCACCGCAGCTCTTCTGTAACCCCCTGATTTTTAACCTGCCAATAGGATAAAAGTTTTAAAACAAGCCCAATTCAGACACACTTGGAATCAGTACATTAAAATGAGGTTTGAATGCAACGTCATCCCAAGGAACAATGAAAATGGCACTTTGGTTTAGGAAGCAAATTGGGAAACAATCAACAGGGAGCTGAAGGCATACTCAATGAGGAAACAATCTGCTCAAGGCCGGAGCGTAGGCTGAAGATCAAAATGAGGGCATGTATCCCTCTTGACCTTTTCCAGGAAAGTAGATGAGAACATCTGCAAAGGGGCTTTCTATGGAAAGCCAGTGGGGTACAAGTTCAGCTCAAGACCTTGAGCCAGCTGGAGAGGTATGTCCTACATAATGAGGTACTTTCAAATGACCTTGCTCTGAAACCCTTGCTCTTATTTTCTGTCCCGTTCTCTCTCTTTCTGTCTCTGTTCAGAAACCCGGAGTCTCTCCAAGAAATATGTCGCCAGTTAAGGATCTCTGTGTGGAATTTTGAAGCCTTGAGTCACGGTCCGCCAAATCTCTTAATGACTCTCCAGTTGCCGACGGAGCGTGGCAGCAGAAGGTGTGTTTCGTTAACTCTTACCACGTTATGGTTTTCAAAGCGAGTCGGGCAGGTAATGAGGGTCCTACATGGTGAGCAGGGCTGCGCTCACAGGAACAAATTTTGCAATTTCTTGTGTGATCACACAAACGAGGCTGGTCCTAGTCCTGGAAGGACTTACAGTATTGGGGCTAGGCTCCTTTATTTGTGTTGATCGACAACCCGTTTGCAGTTTTGTATCATGGGTAAGCTTGGGCTGGTTCTGGATCAGCACATTAAAATGACTTCAGTATAAGCAGAAAAGTACATTAATAAGAAAGGTTAGTTTAGTAGCATGTTACATTTTACATTATTTACTGAATTAGGTTTTAACTTTTTTACAGCATCCATTAAATTATATTTTTTATATATTTCTCTATAAATAAATATAAAAAAATCATTGTTCATTCATAATACATAACAATTAGAGTTAGAGAGTCGGACTTGTACCCCGAAGGTTGTGGGTTCGAGTCTCAGGTCCGGCAGGAATAGTCGGTGGGGGGGAGTGAATAACCAGCACTCTCTTCCACCCTCAATACCACGACTGAGGTGAGACCCTTGAGCAAGGCACCGAACCCCCAACTGCTTCCCGGGCACCGCAGCAATATGGCTGCCCACTGTGTGTTCACAGTGTGTGTGTGTTCACTACTGTGTGTGTGCACTTGGATGGGTTAAATGCAGAACACAAATTCCGAGTATGGGACACCATACTTGGCCACACGTCACTTCACTTCATATAGGGTAACAAGGTTATATTTACCACCTGAGCTATTTCTGATCTTCTTTTTTCACCTGGAAAATAGAAACGCCCTCTGACAGGTTACTTGATGCGTCATATCTTGTGCTTGCATGTACATGTTCAAAACCTTCTTAACTGTAAACAACTACTTGTCATGTAAGTGCCTACTTCCTCGTATTTCTCTTTTAGAAATGGGTCAGTCACACGTGCCCTGAATGGAATCTAAAGTACTGTCCAGGGTGTGGAGAAGTGTGAGCCAGAAATTGATCATTTGTCATCATGAGTTACACCAAATAAATTCAACAACTCCAGGTCAATGCTGCTACACCCTAATATATGTAAACTCCGACAGTATTGCTATACGTAATCGTTCACAGATGGGCCGACTCACAAAAATCATGTAGCTCAAAACGCGCTAAATTAAGTAAAATCAACATAGATGGTGGTATTGAGTCACTGGTAGTGAGACTAGTGGCGCTCTGGAGGGTTTCTGATCTCAAAGAGGGCAGCAGGAAGGGGGGAACAATGCTTCAGTGTTAGCCCTCATTTCTGTAGCTCGGGAAAAGAAGCCACCACTGAACGTTCTGCTTCACTCCACGTCCATTGCTTTTTTGGGAAAGTATTAAATAAGAGAAACCAGGCGTGTAACTTAAATCCATGCTCCGGGCTCTCTGTCTCTGCATCTCACTATAACGTCTCACCCTTCCTCTCGCTTCTCTCTTTTTATGGTTACTCCTGATCCATGTGTATGTTTTTTCTAGTTCCCCCCTGCGGTCTCAAAGAAAGGAAAGCAGCCTGAAAGTTGGTCGTGATCTAAATGACTGAAGCCCTGCATCTTCGGACGAATTCCCAGAGGGCCACAGGTTTGTCTAAGCAGGTCTTCAAAGGAAATTCCAGCCAAATATTCATTTTGTGCATTTGGCAAAGAACAAACTCTGAGGATATTATTCTCTTTCTTTGTCCTTCTCCAGAAGACCACACTGAAGTCAAAACCTCTCTCTCTGGCCTTGGGTCGACTAGTCTCTAAAAGCAATAAATCATGTCACGTTAAGAAGGAAACCTCCTTTTTGAGCAAAGTTTGGTTTTTATTTAGACTCAGACAATGAAGAGTATGCAAACAAGTTCAGTAGGTGCTTTCCTCACAATGACGAGTTTCTCTAAAATTAGCGCATGACTACAAGTGAACTTTGATATAGGCGTGTGACACAAACAACGAGTTAAAGTTAATAATACAGTGCATAGTCAGCATGCCTTTGGCCCTCTAATATGCACCTGTACATACAAGCATTCGACTTTACAATGACCGGTGCCATTGTGTGTGGCAAAAGCCCCGGTTGCCAAGGGTAACAATCCTTTTTTTCTTATAATCACCTTTGTCTTGGCTTCTATCATTGGCTCATAAACCTCTGGTAAATAGCCAACGAAGACAGGCCATATTAACCCTTTCGCACGTGAGTTTAAAATATTCTAGCTGAGCCCCCAGTTTTTTTTTTTTTTTTTTAGCACATTGTCACTCAATATCTCACAATTATTTTCTTGCTTTTCAGCTTGTCAATGTGTTGAATTGATGACTGTTCCTTTGGAAAAAAAAAAAGATCTTTAATCCTTCAGCAAACAGTGACGTTTAATCCTTGAAAATATTTTCCTAGGGCTTTTTGTTCATGTACGACTGAAACTTCATCATAACCAGGGCCTGCGAAATAGGCCAGGAGATATTTCAAACCCTTCTCAGATTTATTAGAAAAGTAAGCGTCTTGTGCGTTACACAAGATTTATTCTGAGAAGTGAATCATTGCTTGGCCTAGTTTGATTTATTTAGGAACTACAAAAATAAAAAGCTACTCTGTGCTCCCTAATCAATTTAATTGCAGGACGACAAATTATAAAAATGCCTTAAATATCTCAAAGCCACTTTATATTTGTGAAATTTATCCAGAGCTTTGTCCTCTTGTCAGTTTTGTATTTATGGTTGAACCAGTCTGTGTAACACTGGAAACTATCCATGCCTTCTTTGGGCCTGGCAAACATAATGTAACTTGAATCCGCAAAGAATTATCAGAGAAAAGCAGCCACAATTAGCTATAATTATATGTTCTACATAAAAACCATGATATTAAAATGAGAACTAGAGGGAAAGACAGAAGGACATTGAATAAGAATAAAGACAGAACAAGAAGGAGAGGGGAAAACAAGAGGGTGAGAGAGTGAGATGTTGTGGATCTTGGCAATGGAAAATGTCACAGGAGGTTTACCATGGGGAGCCCGAGAGGAGACACACATTTGCTTGCAGGGTATTGCTTTACAGTGAATTTCTGTTATTGTTGATGAAAGGCCTGTCTAGAACTACACGTATCAACGTGTCAATTGAGGGAAAAGGAGATTGGGGCTGGTATAAACTGCAAACGTGGGAAGTCGTAGCCTAATGGTTAGAGAGTCGGACTCGTAACCCAAAGGTTGCGAGTTCAAGTCTCAGGTCCGGCAGGAATTGTAGGTGGGGGGAGTGAATGTACAGCGCTCTCTTCCACCTTCAATACCACGACTGAGGTGCCCTTGAGCAAGGCACCGAACCCCCATCTGCTCCCCGGGCGCATAAATGGCTGCCCACTGCTCCGGGTGTGTGTTCACGGTGTGTGTGTGTTCACTGCTGTGTGTGTGCACTTAGGATGGGATAAATGCAGGCACCATATAGTATTAAGACCCAGCACCACCTCCCAGCTCAGTCCGACGCCTAATCTAAATGGATTTTGTCAATCGTAGTTACTTATAAATAGGTCAGCTGTAACTCTGTTTAAATCCAATGGTGACAACTTGCGTGAGAGCTTCTGCCATTATCCTCCATATTGTGTTTACAGTCTCACAGTGTGACCGTGAATTAACCTCACTTTCTTTTTCCTTTCAGATGTAGAGCATTTATTTGAAACAATCAGTCTTATCTCACCAAGTGGTATCATTTTACAGGCTTTGCTGTTCAAAGAGCACTTTTATATTGAGAGTATTACAGCCCTGTTAGTAACTTCATGTATAGTTTTCATATTTTACTTTGAAATAACCTTAATATGGGTCCAGAGTTCATTAATATTCAACCGGATTTACAGAATCCTACCTCAGCCTTCCCTCCTAGGTTTTCAACTTGATCAGCCTTCAAAAATATGGCTTAGAGTATGATTAAACACATTATTTCATCACAAAAAGGCAGAGCATGATAGATATGCACTACATGTTGAGTATATTTGCTGTTTTCAAAATGACACTTATCCAATAATCTCAACATTGTGATTCTGCTTTATAGAATACTCATGCTGTATGCTATGCTGTTGTGTGTATTTCAAGCAACTGTTGTTATCTATGAATCCAGACAAGGCAGTAAAGCATGCATATGAACTTTTGAAGACAATGTAGCAAAACAACATGACTTCCTTGTCTCAGTCTTTTGATTGAGTAATGGTGTTTTCGTTTTTTTTGTTTGTGTGTGCAGTTTTGCAAAATTAATGCATGCTGTTAATAATCACACTGATATTCACACTGTCTTTATTTTAGAAATATTTTAGACATTTGTTGTATTGTACTTTTAATAGTAGTAGTAGTAGTAGTATATTAAGAATTTATAATATTGTTTTTATTTTTATTTCATTTATTTTTTTTAGAAGTTTATCCCCAAGCACACCTTAAATGTGATTTGATTATTCTAACAGTTTGATGGAATCATTATGTTGATGTTTTGTGAAAGCCTTAACGCGTCAATCCTGACTAAACAACAAATGGTCAGATTAAATGAAAAGAACCAAAACCATTTTCCCATCCCAATCTCACTGCATTGCTTGCCTAATATGCTAATAGCATTCCCTCTGTATCTTGGAATATAAACTGATGCATCACTGCTGCTGGATCTGCAACTTGGTAGCTAAATGTTCTCCTCTGCTGCAAACCGTGTTTCAAAATTTAGTACGCTGACTACCTTGACAGCATTTTGCGGCATCACGGGCACTGGAAACACGAGTAAACATGCTGTCTATGCAGTGCACTGTGTTTTGAACGCGCCTGTGATGCCCAAAAATAGTGGCACGAAACTCACTAAAGTCACGGCCTGTGAGACAAGAAAAGAATCAGTGCAACTTAAATAACTTTACCTTACCTGCGATAAAGACATGTTTAAGTAGACAAAGAGTCCGGTGGTCGAAGCGATCTGCAGCACGACCACCACGATCACCACCATCGCGATCCATAACTTTGACGGCGAGTCTCGACCACGGCTGTTCGCCGGAACCATCATGTATGCGCTGGACTCGCTGCTGACCGACCTGAAGTAATCCTGGTTGTTCTGAGTAGCCATGGCATTCCTAAGACTGAGTAGATACGCGGTTAGTGACAAACAAACAGAAATCAGCAACGGGATGAATAAACTCCTTCTTGTTGGCGCAGAGCGGCCGTGGGAGGGTAGAGTCTGTCCCACACTCGCGTGCACTCACTAATGCTGTAGGACTAGGCTTGTGTGTGTGTGTGTGTGTGTGTGGTGGGTTGAGTCTTGAGAGTTTCTCAAGGTAGGCTACACTTTACAACTCATGACTTTTCCTCATACAAGATGACCCACTGAGAACAACTGCAATAGTAATAAATACATAGTAATATATTTATATTTCATATCATTATTTTAAACTGTTATTGTGTCATCATATATTAAATAATATTGGTCATATTCTCCCAACCTACAGAAAAGCCCAGAATGCTCTTTCCATTCTACAGAAACCCATTAAACTTCTCATCCTTTTTGACTCTAAGGCACCCAATTGTCGATAACAGTATTCAAAGGCCCCACGAGTTTTCCAATTGCTTGTGATTTACTGGATGAGAATTAAGGATAAGGATTAAAATAAATAAATACAATATTTCTTTACAATTTCTTCATGATAAAATATTTACAAGCTTCGCATAACTATAAAAAAAATGCATATTCATTATAAAAATGCACATGGAGTTATAATAATGTATTAAGTTACGTAACATTTCCAGGTCTATAAATCACACTTTTAAAATTAGGCTTCCTCATACTTTATGAGGTATGGTACCTAGGCTATATCACGTTTTTTTTCACAAACGTGTGGCCAAATCTTAAGAAATACGTTAAGATAAATATTTCTAAGAAGTTCTTAAGAATGTTCCTACATTTCTTAAATTCTTTTATCAAATATTTACTTAAAACATCTTTTTTTTCTGAGAAAAAAATGACAGCCCGCGTTATCAGATTGTAAGGCGGTTCTTGATGAAGTCTCATCGATCAACTCACCTCAAAGACCGTCCAGCAGATTACCGTAATAACCACTGTAAACGCGCACACTATTTCTATCACGATTTTTAAAAATGCCCTGTGTATTTTAAATAATTATTTTTAAGGAGTCAAGATGGAGCAGTCTGTTGCATTTATTTGCGCTCTCTCTGTATAGTGCGTCCTGTAACTGTGTGTGTGTGTGCGTCCTGTAACCTTTTGAGAGGGGTAAATTAAAATAAGAAATCTTGATTTGTTATTGCTTATTCTCTAATACTTGTTTTTTGTTGCTTATTTTATGCTTGTTTTATCTTATTTTAAACCATTTGAAGTCATCTTGAGGCCCCCTTGGAAGTTGAGAATGCTTGGTTTAAATAAGCCTAAACTGGTTTGCTGGTCTTCAAGTTTAAGATGGTCTAGACCAGGGATCCATCCTCAAATCTGGCCCACGAGATCCACTTTCCTGCAGAGTTTACTCTAACCCTAATCAAACACACCTGAGCATGCTAATCAGTGTCTTCAGGATCATAAGAAAATCACAGGTAGGTGAGTTTGATCAGGGTTGGAGCTAAACTCTGCAGCGCATTGGCCCTCCAGGGCAAGATTTGAGGAACCCTGTCTAGACAGACCAGCTGAGAAGTGTCCAAAACCCCTCTACAACCATAAACCATCTTAGGATGGTTTAAGATATTATTGTGAAGCAGGGTGAGTAAAACCATTATATTTATATAGAACTTATTTGTATAGTCCTTAAAATGAATGTTAGACATACCTGGACTTAAAACATGCAGATGAATTATTAGATATATTAACAAACTGAATTGCTGGTGGGCTATCTGTGTGACTGAGAAGGACAAGATAACAAATGCAGGGGACCTGGTTTGATGACCTTTACTTACTTAACAGAGCCTTGTTTTTGTAAAGGTAAAAGATATTAAGGGGGAAAAAAAGGAAAAAGAAAGATGACCTAGAATGATCTGTGTACATCTGACTAAAACAACTGAAGATGAAAGACTTTGAGTATATCTAATAAATTACATTTATCACTTGCACTCTTCAGCCGTCTTAAACATTCCAGTCGTCTTGAGATAAACGGTCCATGGTAAAACTGAAGGGACACGAAACTTCACTCCTCTCAACACACTGTAAATATATCTGTCTGTTTTAGCCATAAGCAGCAGGAGACGAGCATCGTGTGTGAGCCGGAGCGTATGTTTGTCTATATTAGCATCTAGAGGAGATGGAAGACAGATGTCTTATGTCAGATGTTCGGTTGGTCGAGGCCCACGGTCAGCCGGAGAAACCAACCAGACTGATGCTCTCACCTCGTCCGCAGATCATCGCTGGTCTCTGCTATGGAAGTGCATTGAAAGGGGTGAGCAGCTAATAGATATATGAGACAACTCCTCATGGATGGATATCTCATGTCTGTTACTGACTGTCTGTCAAATGATTTCTAGCAATGGTATTTAGTGCTGGTTGCATAATGCTTAGAGTAGTCTTAGAATTTAGGCATCTCATTTTTTTTCTTCAAGACTGGTCATAAGTTTGTATAGTAAAAAGGTAGACTGGTCTTATTTGAATCGTAAAAGTAAGACACAGTCATCATAGTGGTATATGCAACTGGCCCCTGAGCTGTAGAGATGAGAGATACAAAATCACTGTACATCAAGACAACCGCCAGTTTTCTGAAATGTTATATTTAAGTATGCAAGTGAGACATGAATTAAATATGGACTAATTTGCATACATTTCCTGAACATTGATTTAAGGCAGGTTCAAAATTTGTTTCATTTTTGCTGACATTAGAATTAAAGGGTTTTAAAGAGCAAACTTTGGATATCTTTTTTTTTGTTTTTTAAGTCAGAAACTACTTTCAACAGCCTTCTATTGGACATTTTTGGCTCAGTGCATGAGTTAAAAAACCTCAGCCTTCAAAGATATGCATTGGAATTTCAGTCTACAGATGCAAATAGATAAAGTATAATAATATGAACATTTAAATGTTTTTTTTTTTGCATGTTTTCTTTCCACTAGTCTGAAAGAAGATATGTTATGGAAGCAAAATCACCCCAAAAATCTCAAAACAGGTCAATAGATATGGACAAAAACACTTTTGAGACAATTTTCAGAAAATCCGTTCTTTTTCATTTGTAGAAAGAAAGTAACTCAAACCGGTTTGGAACAACATGAGGTTGGGTAAATTATGACGTTTTTTAATTTTTATTTATTGAGTTAACTATCCCATTAATTTTTATTTATTTATTTATTTGAGTTACCTATTCCTTTAATATAGTGTGACACACATTGGATCACATTATGAATTGCAGATTACAGAGAAAATTACATGTTTTACACACAATGACCTTATCTTCATGATAGATAGGGCCTGCAAAGAGCCCGATGTGAAGATTCTTTAAAAACCTGAACACACATCGCTATTCTCCAGAGCAAACATGTTAAATGTATTGTGCTCATTTTAATTTATTTAGTATTTTATGCAGTTTACCTTCTCCTTTATGGCCCGTTTGATCATATAAATACGAAGGATTGCTCGCCATCCCTGTTGACTTAAGTCGCGGCGCTTCAGTGCTTCGCTAGGCTTGAATGATATGAATAGAAAATATATGAGTACATTGAGTCTGTGAGGCCTGTTTAGTGTAAGGAATTCCTTTACATGTGTCTGGCTCTCATTGTAGAGAATAAATCGATGGATCATAGCTTTGGGAAAAGGGTGGGAGGAGGGGGTTGTTGGGAGATTTCCCAGAACCCCCATGATCCATTTGACTCTGTCAACTCTGTTGCAATTATTTCTTCTCTTCTCTCTCTTCCCCACTCCCTTTTATCTTTTTTTCCGTATGCACGTTTTTTCACTGTCTCTCATTTTTGGTAGTGATGCCTCCTCAGACATTGAAACAAACACTTCTCCAGATGCGTATAAGGGGGCTGGACTGATAGCCATTGTGTCTTCACTGACACTGCAGCTGTGAAGTCAGTCCCCCTTGTGTATGAGAATATGCGTGTGTGTGCGGGAGAGAGCATTTCTGGGAGACTGATAGAGCGAGGCAGAGGGTCACAGAATGAGTATGTGCGATTTTGTGTGTGTGTCCCTGATTTTCAAGCTGTGGTCGCCAAGAGCAGGAGTGAGTGGGATGCAGGTTTTCGCTAAAGCGCATTCCTGCCATGTTAGGTATCACTGCTTGGGGAGTATTAATGGGATGCAGTAAAATATTCCTGCTTTTTATACACCCCGCAAAGCCCTGCACAGCTCCATCATAAAACAGCTTCAACAATACAGCATTCACTGTTTATCATTTTCAGACACACTTTATTATAGGTACTGACATTTTTTTGAAAAATAACAACACGGGAACATACAGAATACAGGATCTTTGGTCAAGAATGTGTCAGTGTGTTTTGGGTGGTAGTAACTTCCAAAGCTGATATGTAGGCCTAGTCAGATTTCCGCTTACCTAATAACGGCTGTGGTTTGAGGGCTTGGACCGGTAGAGCAGATCTCATATAAACAGACAGCGTGCATGCAGCTGTTTCGTCTTTAAGGGCTCATTTTCAATGGGTCAGAGTGAAATTGATTATAACTGTGTATACTTTGTCATGACATTGTCTCCTTTTATTAATGTTTGGGATGTGAAAGATTGTGTGGATTTTCTGTCTTTATTTCAGGGGGTGTTGCATGGATCATTGACCAGTTCTGCAAGGGTAAGGCTTCAAGATCAGCATACGTTGTCAATCAGGTGCTGCAGATGCTCCAGGAGAGAATCGGAGCTCTTATAGTGCCCTCTGCTGGTCTCTTGCTGCATGTCACAAAACTCATCGAGAGACGCCATCAAAGCAACCATTGTCCAGCCATTCAGACGGGCACTCCGAGAGAGTCTGCAAAGCTACGGGAAAGTAATAAAAACGAATAGGCTACATTTTATAATATAAATGATAGAATTAATTGTGAGGACTTCTAATGAAACTGATTGGCTCTTTCAAAGCAATTCAGCTATGGGTAGTATAATGCATGCCATCTAATTCAATAGGTTTGAGTTTATTACAAAAGTATAAGGAAGCACTATCCTTATACTTCTATAATAAACTCAAACCTACTCTATTAGATGGGGACCAGGACTGTTGTAAAATGAGTTGTAGAACTGTCAGTTTAACCACTATGATTAAAAATTATTTATAGGACAAAAACCTT